AGGAGACGGGGGTGAGTATACAGGGCAATGTAAATTGTTACTTAATATAACTGTATAGCTACTTACAGTTATAGAGGCTGTGATGGACTAGAGGGTTCCATGGTAGGGGTTAACGAGTGGGTTAGTAAATGGATTGACATAACTTAGGTTACAAAGAGGGTACTAGGAGGAGTCACGGTTTCAACCCTTACAGATATTTGGAAACCGTGAAGGGTACTCAATGCGATGTTGAATGTAGTTGGAAGGGAATTTGAGGTACAGCCTGGGTACGACGAGGTACTGCGTAAGGTACTTCGAGGGTATGATAAGGTACTTTGAGGGTACGATAACGTACTTCAAGGTACTTTGAGGGTACGACAAGGAACTCTGAGGTACTTCAAGAGTTAGATGGTTTCTATTCGTATGTAAGTATTGAAACCCTAAGACGAGGTACTGCGGGTACTGCGGAAGGTACTACAGGTACTCCAAGGTACTACGGGTACTACGGGTACTCCAAGGTACTCCAAGGTACTCCGGGTACTACAGGGTACTACAGGGTACTACGGGTACTACGGGTACTCCGGGTACTCCAAGGTACTACAGGGTACTACAGGGTACTACAGGGTACTACGGGTACTGCGAGAGGTACTATGAGGTACTCCAAGGTACTACGAGTACTCCAGGTACTCCGGTTACTTCAGGTACTACAGGGTACTACAGGGTACTACGAGGTACTATGAGGTACTCCAAGGTACTCCAGGTACTCCAGGTACTATGGGTACTATAGGTACTACAGGTACTCCATTAACATGGCCATGTTTTTCGGAACATAATATTAGTGTACGATTTACCGAAAAATTCGTTTTTTTTTGGTACGACGGGACGATGAACGGACGATGACGTCATTTTCCCACGGCGGACGACGGACGACGTCGTCCGTAAACATGGCCATGTTTTTCGGAACATAATATTAGGGCGGTCAGGGGACGAAGCGAAATCGGGGTTAGAGGCGAGGGTACGTAAAACCTCCTCGCCGTGGCCCGACGCGTTCATCTTGTCTGTAAACGTAGGTGGTTTCAATACTGGAATTGGCATTGAAACCAGAGCCACTCACCCAAGTCATAAACCCTCGCACACCAGCTTCCAGCCTGCTCCAACAGCTCCGTGACTTTACGAATTTGCTCCAAGGTCTTCTTCTTTTCCTCCGAATCTTTGACGTTGGCTGCCGTGACCAACAGGTTTCCCCAACTCTCGCGCGAAGCCTTCATAAGTGCTCGAGTGACTTCGACTCGATGCGCGCCATTAACGAGGTAGATGACAATGTCGGGGTTCTCCTCCTTAAGCTTCATGAGCTCTTCCAAGTTGAGGACGAGTTGCTTCAGCTTGTTGGGATTGGCGGAAGTGGGGGAGGGGAACGACTTCTCTTTGTTGACGATGCGGCCTGGTAGAGCAATAATGATGGCGTGCTCTGGGGATTGGGTTAGGAGCTCTTTACCCTTGTTGTAGAGGTCGTCGAAAACTGATTGTTCGATCGGGCGATGGTTGAAATGGCGAAGGGAGAATGGAATGACACTTTTAAAGTATTTCTCGTCGCCGTTTTTAACCCACTGATATATCGCCGACTGGGCGAAGCTATCCGCCTCCTCGAACGACGCACCCTCCTTCCCCAGTAACGGACCGGCGCCAACGTACAGCATGGCCATACCCATGTGCGCTTCACTTGCGATCATTTGGAACTTGATGGTAGGGCCAGCAGCGCTAGCCCTCGCAGCGAGCATGTCTTCAAGGGTCTGTACAGCTGACTCGCTCTGGACAATCTAAAAAGAACACTCATAAGTACTTACAAGACTACAGAGCGAGAATCATACTCACAACTTTATCAACTTTTTTCTTTCCCTACCAAAGCGGTTTCAAAACGACAGACCAGATGGAAACCAATAAAAAAGCGTACCTTGTCTGGCTTTCCACTATCTCCAGATAGCCTCCTCGGTGGCCTGGCCTTTGCTGCGCTCACAGGAGTCTATGTAACAAGTAAACAGTCTTGTGTAAGTCACTCTCAGCGTTCGAACTAAACACAAGGACAAACCTTTTGTTTCTGTTTCCCTTTGCCTCCCTGTAAGGCGCGGTTAATTGGTTTCAATCTTTACAACGAAATAGAAACCGGTACTTACCCCGCCTTGCTCATCACCCTTCTCACCTGTCGCCGTACTTCCACCAGCAACCTGACGAGTCGCGGTTAGTTGGTTTCAATCGCGATGACCGAATTGAAACCAAAACTTACCCCGCCTTGCTCATCACCCTTCTCACATGTCGCCGTACTTCCACCAGCAACCTGACGAGTCGCGGTTAGTTGGTTTCAATCGCGATGACCGAATTGAAACCAAAGCTTACCCCGCCTTGCTCATCGCCCATCTGACCTGTCGCTGTACCTCCACCAGCAGCCTTAAGATTTCGTTAGTTGGTTTCAAACACGATGACCGAACTGATACCAAAACTTACCCCACCCTGCTCATCTCCCTTGTCCCCTGTCGCCGTACCTCCACCAGCAGCCTGACGAGTCGCGGTTAGTTGGTTTCAATCGCGATGACCGAATTGAAACCAAAACTTACCCCCCCTTGCTCATCGCCCGTCTGACCTGTCGCCGTGCCTCCAGCAGCAGCCTTATGAGTTCGTTAGTTGGTTTCAAACGCCATGACCGAATTGAAACCAAAACTTACCCCGCCCTGCTCATCTCCCTTGTCACCTGTCGCCGTACCTCCACCAGCAGCCTGACGAGTCGCGGTTAGTTGGTTTCAATCGCGATGACCGAATTGAAACCAAAACTTACCCCCCCTTGCTCATCGCCCATCTGGCCTGTCGCCGTGCCTCCAGCATCAGCCTTAGTCGCGGTTAGGGGGTTTCAATCGCGTCGATCGAATTGAAACCGAAACTCACGGTGGTCTTTGCCTTCTTCGATGGAGGCCCTTCCGGCTTCTTGGTACCTCCTTCCCCTCCTTCCTCACCCTCTTCGTCCGAATCGATGAAGGCCCGGCTGGTAATCTTGACAAAGGTGGGTCAAGTCGTCCTGCCAACCACGGATATCTACTCACCTTTCTCTTGGTACCCTTGCCCTTTCCCTTCCCTGCCCCTTCCTTGCCTCCCCCTTCCTGGGCGGTCTTCTTCTGCCTCGACTTCTCCCTTTCCTCCGCCCTGAGCTTTCGTCCCTGCTGCTCTTGCGCCTTTTGCTCTGCGCTCTTGGTTTTCGACGTTGATCCAGCCTTGGGTGGCTGAAAAACAGTAAAGTCAGCCGCATCGTCGCAACAACTACGAGCAAGCGTCGAGGATGTGGTATGGATAACTCACCATGGCGTGCGTTCGAATTTTGTACTAGCAGAGTGGAAGAGAGGTTTAGTAGAGAGAGGGGTAAGTGGAAAAGCGACTCACCTTGGTTTCTAACGGTTTTTTTGAGGCTTCGACGTCTACCAGTGCTGGGAGCAGTGTGAGGTTGAGTAGGATGAGGGAAGGAAAGAAGGGAGGGGCAGCCACCCAGGTTTTATGTCCTGGGAGGCTGTGTCAGGTATGATCGAAAATGTTTAGCTTCCGCCATGGCAACAGACTCACCTTCCACCGATTTCCTTCATTCTTGTTGCGTTCGACAGCTCGGTTTCGGACGTTTCGACAGGAAAAGAGTTGACGAAGAATGGAGGAGAATTGAGGCAGTTGCGAAGGGAACAATGAGGAGGTAAGTTTTATTGCGGGCTAAGACTTTTCCGGAGCGATCGTACTTACCATATTGGCGGGCGATTGCTCCAACTCCACCGCCATTCAGAGGGTCTCGGCCGCCCTCCTTTCCAACAGCCGCTCGGTTTAGATCGATGCCCAATCGGGTCAGAAAAGGGGGATGGAAGTCAGCGGGTCTTCGGTCATCAGGTATGAGACAACTTTGTGACGCGTGCGTCATTGCGTTACTGACACGCTAACCCTCTCGTCTTCAGCGCGTTTTCAAACGCGGAGAAATGGCTTTTGAATGAGCCCAAGACCACCCCTATACCATCAGAATTGGGCGAGGTACAATGGTTTCTACCTGCCTATGCCTAGAATTCAGGTAAGCGCCCGTGTTTGTTTTCTTTTTTTTCTTTCCATGTGCGTGATTGTCTTACCAACGTCTTACCCCTCTCAACTTAGGCTGGTTTGAAACGTTTCTCTTTTCCGTATCGAACGAGCCCGGACCCACTGGAATCGGGGTAGAAACCGGTAAGTTATCCTTATTTCTTTCCTTCCCAATCACTCAACCTAGTAACAAGTGTTAAGTCATTCAACTAGTACCCAACTCTTGTACACTGGGTTTCTATGGCTAATACAATAGCTTCTAATACATGTTTCTAATGACTTGAGTGATGATGGAAGAGATATTTGGAAAGAGAGGGAGGAGGAGGAGACGTTTGCCGGGGTAACGTCTAAATTTGGACATGTACAAAACGGATCAAGCGATTAGGTTCCGCCTGCCGGATCGGAGACGGAACCTGATCGACTTACTTCTTTTGGAACCAGCTCCACAGTTGGAGCCTTGTGGTTTCCAATCCTCGCTGGTGATTGAAACCAACGGTGGGAGGGAGGCAGGAGGTGGGAGGGGATCAAGGTTGGTAGATGACAAAGGGAGGGGAGTGGTTTCTAACCACCACCGGGTTTGGAAACCAGGGACCATGGTCAGTGCCTACATGGGGGGGTTAGGCAGGGAATCTCGTATGACCTTCGTCAAGGCTGCCCCATGAGGGTACTCTGGGTGGTACGCTCATCGTACACTGGTGGTACAACGGGGGCTGTTCGATGGTACGATGAGCGTCCCAGTGTACGATGAGAAGGTACTCTCGTCGTACAACGACTGTACGATGGTGGTACGATGGGGTACCCTCATCGTACAGTCGTCGTACGATGAGTGTACGATGGTACGATGGCGTCGTACACCTGTCGTACACTGGTACGATGGGGTGTACGATGGCGTCGTACAAGTGAACTTAGAGGTACAACCATCGTCCAGCGAGTGTACGATGGGGGTACGATGGGGTACTCTCATCGTACACTCGTTGTACGATGGCGTCGTACACTGGTACGATCGGGTGTACGATGGTGTCGTACACTGGTACGATCGGGTGTACGATGGTGTCGTACACTGGTACGATCGGGTGTACGATGGTGTCGTACAAGAGTACGATCGGGTGTACGATGGTGTCGTACAAGAGTACGATGTCGTCGTACAAGTGTACGATGGTGTCGTACATACAAAAGGTAAAGTGTACGATGGTACGATGCCATCGTACACTTTGGTTTCTAAATTCGTTTTGGGATAGAAACCATGTACGATGGCATCGTACACTTGTACGATGGGGGTGTACGATGGTACGATGCCATCGTACATCATGGTTTCAATAAACGATTTCATGTACGATAGCATCGTACACTTGTACGATGAAGTGTACGATGGTACGATGCCATCATACATTTTGGTTTCAATAACCGTTTTCGGGTATAAACCATGTACGATGGCATCGTACACTTGTACGATGGGAATGTACGATGGTACGATGCCATCGTACCATTATGGTTTCAATAATCGATTTCGGGTATTAACCATGTACGATCATCGTACATTGGTACGATGAAGTGTACGATTTACCGAAAAAATTACTTTTTTTTGTACGATGGTACGATGAATGTACGATGACATCATTTTCCCACGGGGGACGATGGTACGACGTCGTACATTAAACATGGCCATGTTTTTTGGAACATAATATTAGTGTAGAATTGCCCTGTTCGCCATTTATATCTTCATCACCGTCAGAGATAACCTGTACCCCATTGTTGAGCACTGTAATTGTATTCACAGAATGCATGATACGCACAAGCTGATTTAAGTTTAGAATATGTTCCGAGGAATCATCTTCTTGAACTTCCGAAAGGGTTGGCTGGAAAGCGGGTTGAATGAAACTATTGCAACTGAAGAGTTCTGGACATACAGTAGTGCTTGGGGCACGCTTTGGGAACAAATTGATATCAGCGCAAATTCTCTTCATATCGAAATTTAAGCAACGCACCAAAGTAATTAAAGAAGTATCTGTAATAGATGGGGTCTAATAGAAATCTTCAGCACAAGTCCTATGTACGCTTTAACTCAATAATCGACTGACTGTTAAAGTTGGTTGACTATTTGCTTTAGTCTTGGTCTATTTCGATATCAGTTAATTTTTCCATGATATCAAAATCGATAATTGTAACTTACAGAGGTTGTAGTAGGTTGGGTGTTCTGCACAAAATGATATCACCTAAAATTAGCCTCATATCAAATTGTTGAATTTTCAAATCAATTACATTGAGTGTGCTTGAGGCTTTAATTAAAGCTTTGATCTTTAATGACATCAGCATTGCGCCCAAACAAAACATATATGTTATCAAACACTCACACTGTGACAAGTGTGAGTCTTGGACTGGTGTTTGGTGTTAAAGTCTTGCTGACACTTGGAGCAGTGGAACATATTTGATATGGAGAGTGAAGATGTGGGCAAATTTCGGAAGGGCGGGAAAAAAGGCTTTCCTGTCTGATGGGGAATGCCGGGTATATATGTTTTTTCCGGGATGGACAAATATGCCATAACAAATGACATCATATTCAAGCAAACTTGCGCAAATAACTGGGTTTACACTAAAGATTGAGTGTAGATGTAATTCACAATTTTGATATGAGTGTGATTTGGACTCATATTGGAAGATGAAAACTCAGGATTATATATTAAGCAGTTCTAGTGCCAATCACACCCACTATATCAGTAACGATTGTCAACAACTATTCGCTATAATTCTCATCGAAAAATGATCCTTTACATTAATATAATTGAGAACAAATTCCGTCTCAAAGTGATACTGCATAATATCAACAGATTACGTGAATATATTGCATACATGGCAAATATGAATTTGATCTGGGCAACATTTTACATGAAACTGAATACTTTATAGTCGCATAATTGAATGGACAGTTGATTTGATATGAGTGCTATTTTTTATGATATCGAAAATATGATATGAATGTAATGCACGATGATATCAAAAATGTGATTGAATTGACAGTTAGTTTTCATATCGGAAATGTGATATGAATGAAAAACAAGATGATTAGACAATCAATTTGATATGAGTGTTATTTTTGATGATATCGAAAATATGATATGAATAAAATATAGAATGATATCGAAAATTTGATATGGATAGGATTTCTGCTGATATCAAAAATATGATATGAATAAAATATAGAATGATATCGAAAATTTGATATGAATAGGATTTCTACTGATATCAATAGATGGGTGTTGAATAGAGGTGCAAAAACAAGGTGTGCAGTTGGGGGTGTGGTCCTGAGCGGCGGGTATGGCATACCCGCCGCGGGCAGATAGATAGGGCCTAAGGAGTCACTCACCATTGCGGGTTCTGTTGCTTAGGGGCAGATTAAGGGACAGAATGGTAAGCACAGGTGTGTGGAAGGTATAAAATAGTACTCACCTCGATTTAATGCGATTTACACTGGGTTACTGAGGGTGTAAGAAGAGAAGAGGGTGGGTGGTGGAACGAAGGAGAGAAGGAAAATTTATGGGAGGGTGGCATGAGACCTTGGCTGACTCAGACGATCGAGGTCAATTTACTTCCGCTTTCGACTTGGGATAATCTTCACCGATTTATTTGATTTTAGGCTCGTTCGAAAGCGCTTTTTCCATCGATTCTAACGGTTCTAGCCGTGTAAAAATCCGTGCATTATTCGTGGAGGTACGGGCGGGACAATGGGAGGTATGTCTGTGGGCGGATCAAAGGTGTCCCTGGTGGATCGGGTGGCCTGGTCGGCGGTTTCCTCCGGTGTTATACCAATTTTCCAGACGGAACTAACCCCCTGAACAGCCTCTTGTAAGCCCTTCCTCAACGCATACGTATATGAGGGCTGAATGACATGATAGACACCTATCTACCTCAAGTATACCTGTGTGTGGAACAAATCGGTGTGCGTGATTATAATAATGACGTCATTGCCCTCTCGATTGGGGGCGGTTTTAAACGTTCAAGCCTCAGGTCTATCGCCCAAAAGATGGATGAGCTATGGCCATTTTCGTCGCACCGGAGGACTTTATACTCACCAGAACTAATGCTTCGATTGCTTTGTAGCCTCTAGTCAATGGGGTTAGATTATTGTTTGGGTTTGCCTTTTTTCTGTATTCCCTCCTTGAATTGTGTCGTCCTTAGCCTGAACGATATCTGTACCCTTACCTGTGGGGACACCTCGCTTGAAGTGGCTTGGGCGCTTTTTTATTAAGCGCTTGTCGGACCGAATCACCGATCTCGGCCGTTGATCCGCCGGGCCTGAACGATTGGCACCGCGGACCCTATTCTAGTTGTTGGTTTCTACCCCATCAGCTCGTTTGAAACCACTGCACCATTACAGGAGACGGGGGTGAGTATACAGGGCAATGTAAATTGTTACTTAATATAACTGTATAGCTACTTACAGTTATAGAGGCTGTGATGGACTAGAGGGTTCCATGGTAGGGGTTAACGAGTGGGTTAGTAAATGGATTGACATAACTTAGGTTACAAAGAGGGTACTAGGAGGAGTCACGGTTTCAACCCTTACAGATATTTGGAAACCGTGAAGGGTACTCAATGCGATGTTGAATGTAGTTGGAAGGGAATTTGAGGTACAGCCTGGGTACGACGAGGTACTGCGTAAGGTACTTCGAGGGTATGATAAGGTACTTTGAGGGTACGATAACGTACTTCAAGGTACTTTGAGGGTACGACAAGGAACTCTGAGGTACTTACAAGAGTTAGATGGTTTCTATTCGTATGTAAGTATTGAAACCCTAAGACGAGGTACTGCGGGTACTGCGGAAGGTACTACAGGTACTCCAAGGTACTACGGGTACTACGGGTACTCCAAGGTACTCCAAGGTACTCCGGGTACTACAGGGTACTACAGGGTACTACGGGTACTACGGGTACTCCGGGTACTCCAAGGTACTACAGGGTACTACAGGGTACTACAGGGTACTACGGGTACTGCGAGAGGTACTATGAGGTACTCCAAGGTACTACGAGTACTCCAGGTACTCCGGTTACTTCAGGTACTACAGGGTACTACAGGGTACTACGAGGTACTATGAGGTACTCCAAGGTACTCCAGGTACTCCAGGTACTATGGGTACTATAGGTACTACAGGTACTCCATTAACATGGCCATGTTTTTCGGAACATAATATTAGTGTACGATTTACCGAAAAATTCGTTTTTTTTTGGTACGACGGGACGATGAACGGACGATGACGTCATTTTCCCACGGCGGACGACGGACGACGTCGTCCGTAAACATGGCCATGTTTTTCGGAACATAATATTAGAGACAGTGGTGACACCACATACAGAGGGTGACCACTCCGACTCAGAGAGTGGTGTTCCTGGAACACCGGTTGCGAGCGAGTCACACTCGGACTGAGGGAGTGGTGTTCCTGGAACACCACATACCAGAGGCTGACCATGTCGCGAAGAGCGAACACTAAACCAAACCAAACCTTGAAACCAGAGCGGAAGTGCCAGAGAGCTGAGAGCGACGAGAGAGGCGAGAGCGATGAGCGACTTGTAAGCCAGAAAGCTATGCAGATGTATTGACGAAGAGGTCAAGCCTGAGGAAATACAGAGCAGACTACCTAGCTTATATACCTATTCTACTGTCTACATAGCCGCAGTGAGTCAGAATGACGAACAAATGGTGAAACATCGAAGAACAATAAGAAAGGTCATGAGGCTGCGCGAAGGCTGCGCGAAGAACAAGAATGAAACAATAATGGAACAAGAAGGTGTCAGAGTGTGTCAGAAGGCAGTGCGTAACAATAAGGACGATAGAGTAGGGTAAAGGGCAATGCGAGGCAGTGTTCCATGAGTGAAAGAGTCCATAGAGGGGAATAAGGAGGCGAAGGAGTAAAGGAAAGTGGAACGATAAGATGCGAAACAGATTAGATAAGATAAGATGAAAAACAGGGGCTATACCGGCTGTTCACGACAGACCACTCCGACTCAGAGAGTGGTGTTCCTGGAACACCGCATGTGAGCGAGTCACACTCGGACTCAGAGAGTGGTGTTCCTGGAACACCGCATGCGAGCGAGTCACACTCGGACTGAGGGAGTGGTGTTCCTGGAACACCGCATACAGAGGGTGGCGACTACCAGACTCAGAGAGTGGTGTTCCCGGAACATCAGAGCAACAGCGGCCCACCACCTCATCTCAGAGACTTGAGCAGGATGCGCCCAGGGTCCCCCATACTCTCCCCTGACCCTTTCCCCCAGGGTCAGTCCCCAGGGTCCCCCATATTCTCCTCTGACCCTGTCCCCCAGGGTCAACCATATTCTCCCCTGACCCTGCCCCCCACAGGGTCCCCCATATTCCCCTCTGACCCTCTCCCCCAGGGTCAGTCCCCAGGGTCACCCATATTCTCCCCTGACCCTGCCCCCAGGGTCAGTCCAATATGACCCCAGGGTCAGACCGACCCTACTCCATTTTTTCTCTCTCTATAACCCTAAACATGGCCATGTTTTTTGGAACATAATATTAGGTCGTCGAACTCCTGCGCATGGCTATCGCTGAACAAGGGTCCCCCAGCACCGTTGAAGAGAGCGAACCCGAGGTCGGCGCTCGAAGCCACCATGTGAAGCTGGATCATATGCGACGCTTTGCGCGCGCGAGACTCGAGCATGGCCTCGACAGTCACAACAGCGCTGTCCGTCTCTTCCATCTAGAAACGTAGACATAGTTAGTAATATCTCAGGTAAGTAGGGTAAATACATACCAGGGCGTCAAGAGTCTTAGGCGTCTGAAAGTTTGGTTTCAACTAAGCACCCCAAGTGGAAACCATACTCGAAGAGGCTTACCTTGTCTTCCCCTTCCTCTCCCTTTTTGTCAGGCGTTGCCTTCGTCTTCTTTGCCCTAGCCTATGAACAAGACGACGTTGGTTTCAACCGTCGAAGACGAATGGAAACCACCCACCTCTTCCCCTCCCTTCCCGCCTCCCTGGCCATCATGGCGATACTCCTACACCGAATGTACGTGTTGGTTTCAACACACGTCGGCAAATTGAAACCACTTACCCCTTCCGCTTCAACCTCCTTCCCTCCCTTGCCAGCATTGCCGTCATCCTCCTACGCCCAAGGTAAGCCTTCATTTCAACGCGCGTTGACGAATAGAAAGCACTTACCCCTTCCCCTTCAGCCTCCTTCCCACCGTCGCCTGCATCTCCACCATCCTGCAACGCGGAACATTGGTTTCTATTTCTTGTCGAGAATAGAAACTACCTACCTCTGCCCCAGTGAGCGCCTTCGGGGCTCCCTCAGCCTCACCGTTCCCTCCTTCGGCGTTCTAAGTGCCTGGTAAGCGCTGGTTTCTATATATCTTCACATATAGAAACCACTCACCTTCCCTCCGTTATCCTGTCCACCCAGGCTCTCGTCGACAATCTCAACATCAGAGTCCTGGGGCGTACGTGTAAGTGCTGTCACCGCGATGTTTTGCATCCACGACTCACCTTGGCGCTGTCGTCGACAGCGGTTTTGGGTTTCTTTGGAGGACGTCCTCCGCTTTTCTTTGCCCCCCTCTTCGCAGGAGGACCGGTGGTGGAAGGTTCCCCCTCGTCGTCCGAGGATTCGACTATCGCAGGGGTCTTGGGCTGTGTGGTTTCAGGTAAGTATGAGCTACACATCGGTCGACTCAGAGGACTCACCTTGGCACGTCTTTTCCCCTTTCCACTGGTCCCCTCCATCTCCTTCGCCGATCGCTCTTGCCCCTCCTGAACGTGCTGCTCCGCGGTTTTCGTCGATCGCCGACTCCTAGTCGTGGTAGAACCGTCCTTGGGCGGCTGTTGGGGTATAGGTAGTTAGCTTCTGCGTCGCCAATGCTCCCCACAGCTTCGAACGAGGCGAACGCGAGCTGGGAGCCGGTGTAGGGCCTAAGGAGTCACTCACCATTGCGGGTTCTGTTGCTTTGGGGCAGATTAAGGGACAGAATGGTAAGCACAGGTGTGTGGAAGGTATAAAATAGTACTCACCTCGATTTAATGCGATTTACACTGGGTTACTGAGGGTGTAAGAAGAGAAGAGGGTGGGTGGTGGAACGAAGGAGAGAAGGAAAATTTATGGGAGGGTGGCATGAGACCTTGGCTGACTCAGACGATCGAGGTCAATTTACTTCCGCTTTCGACTTGGGATAATCTTCACCGATTTATTTGATTTTAGGCTCGTTCGAAAGCGCTTTTTCCATCGATTCTAACGGTTCTAGCCGTGTAAAAATCCGTGCATTATTCGTGGAGGTACGGGCGGGACAATGGGAGGTATGTCTGTGGGCGGATCAAAGGTGTCCCTGGTGGATCGGGTGGCCTGGTCGGCGGTTTCCTCCGGTGTTATACCAATTTTCCAGACGGAACTAACCCCCTGAACAGCCTCTTGTAAGCCCTTCCTCAACGCATACGTATATGAGGGCTGAATGACATGATAGACACCTATCTACCTCAAGTATACCTGTGTGTGGAACAAATCGGTGTGCGTGATTATAATAATGACGTCATTGCCCTCTCGATTGGGGGCGGTTTTAAACGTTCAAGCCTCAGGTCTATCGCCCAAAAGATGGATGAGCTATGGCCATTTTCGTCGCACCGGAGGACTTTATACTCACCAGAACTAATGCTTCGATTGCTTTGTAGCCTCTAGTCAATGGGGTTAGATTATTGTTTGGGTTTGCCTTTTTTCTGTATTCCCTCCTTGAATTGTGTCGTCCTTAGCCTGAACGATATCTGTACCCTTACCTGTGGGGACACCTCGCTTGAAGTGGCTTGGGCGCTTTTTTATTAAGCGCTTGTCGGACCGAATCACCGATCTCGGCCGTTGATCCGCCGGGCCTGAACGATTGGCACCGCGGACCCTATTCTAGTTGTTGGTTTCTACCCCATCAGCTCGTTTGAAACCACTGCACCATTACAGGAGACGGGGGTGAGTATACAGGGCAATGTAAATTGTTACTTAATATAACTGTATAGCTACTTACAGTTATAGAGGCTGTGATGGACTAGAGGGTTCCATGGTAGGGGTTAACGAGTGGGTTAGTAAATGGATTGACATAACTTAGGTTACAAAGAGGGTACTAGGAGGAGTCACGGTTTCAACCCTTACAGATATTTGGAAACCGTGAAGGGTACTCAATGCGATGTTGAATGTAGTTGGAAGGGAATTTGAGGTACAGCCTGGGTACGACGAGGTACTGCGTAAGGTACTTCGAGGGTATGATAAGGTACTTTGAGGGTACGATAACGTACTTCAAGGTACTTTGAGGGTACGACAAGGAACTCTGAGGTACTTCAAGAGTTAGATGGTTTCTATTCGTATGTAAGTATTGAAACCCTAAGACGAGGTACTGCGGGTACTGCGGAAGGTACTACAGGTACTCCAAGGTACTACGGGTACTACGGGTACTCCAAGGTACTCCAAGGTACTCCGGGTACTACAGGGTACTACAGGGTACTACGGGTACTACGGGCTAACCCTACCTTAACCCTAACCCTAACCCAAACCCTAACCCTAACCCTAATTTTAACCCTAACCCTAACCCTAACCCTAACCCTAACCCTAACCCTAACCCTAACCCTAATCCGGTTACTTCAGGTACTACAGGGTACTACAGGGTACTACGAGGTACTATGAGGTACTCCAAGGTACTCCAGGTACTCCAGGTACTATGGGTACTATAGGTACTACAGGTACTCCATTAACATGGCCATGTTTTTCGGAACATAATATTAGTGTACGATTTACCGAAAAATTCGTTTTTTTTTGGTACGACGGGACGATGAACGGACGATGACGTCATTTTCCCACGGCGGACGACGGACGACGTCGTCCGTAAACATGGCCATGTTTTTCGGAACATAATATTAGAGACAGTGGTGACACCACATACAGAGGGTGACCACTCCGACTCAGAGAGTGGTGTTCCTGGAACACCGGTTGCGAGCGAGTCACACTCGGACTGAGGGAGTGGTGTTCCTGGAACACCACATACAGGAGGCTGACCATGTCGCGAAGAGCGAACACTAAACCAAACCAAACCTTGAAACCAGAGCGGAAGTGCCAGAGAGCTGAGAGCGACGAGAGAGGCGAGAGCGATGAGCGACTTGTAAGCCAGAAAGCTATGCAGATGTATTGACGAAGAGGTCAAGCTGAGGAAATACAGAGCAGACTACCTAGCTTATATACCTATTCTACTGTCTACATAGCCGCAGTGAGTCAGAATGACGAACAAATGGTGAAACATCGAAGAACAATAAGAAAGGTCATGAGGCTGCGCGAAGGCTGCGCGAAGAACAAGAATGAAACAATAATGGAACAAGAAGGTGTCAGAGTGTGTCAGAAGAGCAGTGCGTAACAATAAGGACGATAGAGTAGGGTAAAGGGCAATGCGAGGCAGTGTTCCATGAGTGAAAGAGTCCATAGAGGGAATAAGGAGCGCGAAGGAGTAAAGGAAAGTGGAACGATAAGATGCGAAACAGATTAGATAAGATAAGATGAAAAACAGGGGCTATACCGGCTGTTCACGACATTACCCCCCTTCTAAGCCTCATCGTCCTCGATGACCAATGGTAGGCGGCGTCCAAGTTCCCAGTCGAGGTCGGTAGGCGGAGCGTCGGTGAAGTTCTCAAGTGGGCGCCAGGGGAGAGAGCTGAAGACGGTGGCGGCGATGCGGCGTGGTGCAGAGGGGTGTCGCTGGTGGAACTCCTGCACAATCTCGGGTGCGTGCTCCAGGTTCTCCTCCGGCTCCCAAGTGTCATCCGTCGACCCGTAACCCTTCCAACTGACCAAATACTCCAGTTTGCGATTCTTTCCTCGACCTCTCCAACGGCTGTCCAAGATGTCGTGAACCTCGTATTCAAGCTCCCCCTCCAGTTCGACAGGCTCAGGCGGAGGTGGCAAAATGCCATTGACATCATTGCCTTTCCAGGGGGAGAGCTTGTCGACGTGGAACACAGGATGAATGCGGGAGAGGGACGGGGGAAGTTCGAGGCGGTAGTCGAGGTCGCCGATGCGTTCGGTAACTTTGTACGGACCAAGTTGAAGATCGCCGAGTTGTGCGGGACGGAACCTTGATCTGGACGTCCTTCGCGTTAAGCCAAACGTAGTCGCCAACCTTGAACTGATGGGCTGTTCGCTTGCCGGACTCGTACACATCCTTCTGTTGGGCCTTCTCGAGACGTAAGGCAGCTTCCACATCCTTGCGTGCTTCTTGTAGCTGCTGGACACGCTCGTCAACAGGGCGGATCTCGGTTCGCTTGCCGATGGGGATGTTGAAGTGAGGAATGTAACCATAGAGGACTTCGAAGGGTGAGTGATCATGAGCAGAGTGGACGCGGGAGTTGATCACAAATTCGGCCATCGGTAGGTGCTTGTCCCAGTCATCCTGTCGGCGGGAGACGTAGAGGCGGAGGTACTTCTCGATTTCTTGGTTGGCCCGTTCGGTCTGTCCGTTGGCCTGAGGGTGATAGGCGGTCGTGAGGTTGGACTCAATGCCGAGGCGCTTGAGCAGAGTGCGCATGACCTTAGAAGCGAATTGAGGTCCTCGATCGCTGATGAACCGGAGTGGTAGGCCGTGGAGACGAAACACTTCACGATAGTAGATGTCTGCGACGCCTTCGGTGGTGATGTCAGATGTGCAGGGGAGGGCGTGAAGGACCTTGCTGTAGTGATCGGTGAAGACGATGATTGCGTCGTATCCATGGGGCTTCTGGCAACTGTCGCGAAGAGCGAACACTAAAGCCAAACCAAAGACCAGTAATGCGGGAGCAGATAAGAGCGGCGAGTAAGATAAGAGCGATGAGCGACGAATGCAGATGAAGGCTGAAGCGATGTATTGACGAAGAGGTCAAGCTGAGGAAATACAGAGCAGACTACCTAGCTTATATACCTATTCTACAGTCTACATAGCCGCGATGAGTCAAAATGACAAACAAAATGGCGAAACGTCGAAGAACAATAAGAAAGGTCATGAGGCTGCGCGAAGGCTGCGCGAAGAATAAGGATGAAACAATAATGGAACAAGAGAGTGTCAGAATGAGTCAAGAGGCAGTGCGTAACAATAAGAACAATGGAAGTGGGGCGAAGGGTAATACGAGGCAGTGTTCCATGAGTGAAAGAGTCCATAGAGGGAATAAAGGAGCGAAGGAATAGGGGCAAGCGAAACGATAAGATGCGAGACAGATCAGATAAGATAAAGTGAAAAATAGGGGCTGTACCGGCTGTTCACGACAGCAACTGGGTAATGAGGTCAACTCCTACCGTCTCCCAAGGTCCTTCAGGAACGTCCAACGGCTGGGTGGAAGCTCGAGGATGCTGGGTGTGCTTCCTCCGGGCGCAGACATCACAGCCGTCGACATACTTCTTGACAAAGGCTCGCATCGTTGGCCACCAATACTGTCGCTCAACTCGCTCGAGGGTTCCATGTACGCCAGGGTGTCCAGAGGTGGGGTCGTCGTGACACTGCTTGAGGACGTCGCGTCTGAGTTCGTCATCTGGAGGTACGTACACACGGCCTTTGTAGTAAACGAGGCCGTAGTCTTCCTCCCATTCAGCGAGTCCGGATGTGAGGCGACGAGGCCCTGACTTGCGGAGTTGGGCGAGTCCATCTAGGACCTGAGATTCGCGGGCGCTGGCTCGACGAAGTCGATCTTCGAGGGGATTGGCAAGGACGGTGTGGGCGGCTGCGAGCTTGGCGAAAAGCTCTGGTTTGAGAACAACTTGTTGCTTGTTATCCTCTGCGTCCGCAACCTGATGAGTGTCGAGGCGGGATAGGGCATCAGCTTGGGTGTTGGCCTTTCCAGGACGATGGGTGAGCGTGAAATTGAAGCGAGAGAGGTAGAGGGACCATCGGGCCTGTCGTCGACTGAGATCTTGTGCAGTGCGCCAGTATTCCAGGTTGGAGTGATCAGTAACAATCTCGAACGAGTTTGGGGAGTCCCTCCAGGAAATGTCGCCAGTCCTTGAGTGCTTCGATGATAGCCAACATTTCTCGGGGTCGTAGATTTCATAGTTGCGTTCGGCCGGTTGCATGGAGGCGGAGCGGAAAGCAACGGGGTGCCAGAGTCCATCGTCGAGCTTCTGAAGGAGGGCTCCTCCAGTGGCAAACCCAGAGGCGTCTACTTCAACGCGAGTCGGTCGATCGGGGTCCCATAACGTCAGGATTGGAGCGGAGGTGAACGCATTTCGGAGGGTGTCGAACGCCTGTTGTTGCGGCTCGTTCCATTGCCAGGGCATGTCCTTCTTAGTAAGGTCGTTGAGAGGTCGGGCGATAGTAGCGAAATCCTTGATGAAACGACGGTAGAAGTTGGCGAAGCCCAAAAACCCACGGACAGCGCGAAGGTTGCGGGGGATAGGCCAGTTGCGGACTGCCTCTACCTTGGCAGGGTCCATACGGACTTCTCCCTCCCTAATGACCAGGCCGAGATACTCGATCTCTTCCCGCTCGAACTCGCATTTCTCCGGACGAAGGTAGAGGTCGTGCTTCTTGAGACGACGGAGGACTTCGTGTACGACTTGGCGATGCTCGTCGAGGGTAGCCGTGAAGATGAGGATGTCGTCCAAGTAAACTGCGACCTTTCCTGAAGCAATGAGATCAGCAAATATCGAGTTCATGAGTGCTTGGAACGTTGCCGGGGAATTGGTGAGGCCGAAGAACATAACCAATGGTTCAAAGAGTCCCTGGTTGGTGGCGAACGCGGCCTTCCATTCATCTCCTTCCTTGATACGGATGTTGTTGTAGCCCCATCTGACGTCGAACTTGGTGAAGTACTTGGCGCCGCGGAGTCGGTTGACAATGTCGGAGACAAGGGGGAGGGGATACCGGTTCTTCACCGTAATCTCGTTGAGCTTCCGATAGTCTTGAACGAACCGGAGTTTTCCATCCTTCTTCTTGACAAAGAAAACCGGGGAGGCGAGGGGCGATTTAGATGGTCGGATATAGCCTTTCTTGAGGTTCTCCTCGAGGAATCGGTTCAGTTCCTCCTGTTCGTTCTGCGACATAGGGTAGACTTTGGTGCGCATGGTGGCCGGTGCTCCTGCAACGAGGTCGATGGCATGGTCCCAAGGCTTGTGCTCCGGGAGGCGATGAGACTCGGATTCAGAAAAGACGGAAGCGTGCTGTCGGTACTGGGGTGGAACCATCTCCTCGAATGTCTTTCTGGGGTTTGTCCTTCTGGGATTTCTCGGATTGAGGGTGTTGCGAAGGGACACGAGGAGGTAAAGTTTCCCCCGGGCTAAGACTGTTCCGAACCGATCGTACTTACCTCACTGGCAGGCGATTGCTCCAACTTCAAGCCCGTTTCAAAGGTCTAGGCTGCCCCTTTTAGGGTCAGCGTTTTGCCTACGATCGATGCTCCATCGCGCCAGAAAGGGGGCATCGATCTCACCTAGGTTTTCCGAAATCAGGTAGGTGACTCGTTTGCTCCGCGTGCGTCAACGCCTTACCAATTGAATAGCCCTCTCGTCTTGGGTGGATCTATGAACGCCAAAGGGGGGCTTCAAAACGAGCCCAAGACCGGCCGGATTGCTTCAGAACTGGGGGAGATATACTCACTTCAACCGATCCCTTCCCCCAAGATTCAGGTAAGCGCCGGTAGTTCCTCGTGTGCGTGATTATGTTACTGACGTCCTACCCCTTTCAACTTGGGCCCACTTTCAAGTGTATATTTCTCAATTCAAATGAACCCCGAACCATTGGAATTGAGGTTGAAACCGGTGTGTTATACCCTTCCTTTCAGCCTCTTTCACTACCCAGTCACAGATGGGAACTCTTTAAACTTAGTACTAGACTCTTGTAGATCC